GGACGCTGCCAAAGCGAAATGTGCCCCTGAAACCATCACTGACACTGCCACTGCCACTGCCGGAACCACTTGATTTTCTACGAATTCTTTTGGCTTTATCTGTGGCAATGGGATTTTCCTTCTCGCCACTTTTGTTGCTGATATTTAATGTTGTTTTCTTGCACCACAAACCGCTCAAACGATTGCCCATGCTATACGAATTTTGCACATCCACTGCCGAAGCACCCACCGAACACTAGACACTGAAACACGACACTGACAAAATCAAACTACGATTCGTTTCTCCAACTCGCCGTTCGGGCAGTACTCGAATAATGTCTAGGCAATTAATCAGAAAATATTTAACATAAATTCAGGGAGAATCCACAAAGATATCTACTAGTAGAGAGACAGAGGGAGACGAGACGAGACCTTCGACCGAACCGGTGCGCATCTCAATTCAGCAAATACTGAAAATGGAATTCTTTACGAAAACCACAAAATGCCGCACCAAAAACACATTCTGTCTGTAGCTTTCATATATCTGAATTTTTGTGTATTTGTATCTGTAACTGTATCTGTGTTTGTGTGTGTTTTTTTTGGGAGCTTTAGGTATATTATGCCCCACAGCAAACCTCTCCTCAACACCCACCATCCCCGACCTCATCATCATCGTCATCGCGTTAGCTTTTGTGTGTGTGTTGTAGCGCGTCCCTCAGGCGTCCGTCCCTCTGGCTTCATTCCTTCTGGGCTTCTGGTTTCTGGTTCCGTCCAACTAATCGATTTTCTCTCTCTCTCTCTCTCTCTATAGAACACTCTCTTTTATAGCTCTCTCTCTCTCTCTGTGTTCTCTCTCTATCTCTTTCTCTGTCGCGGAAGAACCAATTAATATGTTGTACATCCAACTTCTCATATAATCTTCATTATAAACTTTGAAGTTCGACAACAACTCACGTTCTTACGTTCTTCTTTTGTGTGTGTTGGAACTGAAGAGCTTGTCAAATAGTTAAGAATAGCCCAAGAAGAAAGAAATTAATTGATCATTAGGTTGAAAGAGGTGACAAAAGAATACCCTGTAGATCGGTAGAGAAGAAACCCGAATGGATAGAGATCGGGGGAATAAGCAAAAAAAGCATTTTTGGAACCTTATATAAAGAATGGAAAAAGGGATTCTTTGAAGATATTCTAAGATCTACACAGAATGTAGATATTTATATTTATAGAGCAAAAGCTCTGCCAAATGATGATCTGAAACTCCATTAAAAATATGGCCATATCTCTTTCTTGTACTCCCATACCCTCAAATATATTTTCTTTATAATAAATCATCCCAATCATCTTATCATAGACCCCCCAAAAATGCCATAAAATGTGGGTCATCTCTCTCCATTTTTTAATTGAAAGTTTGTTGAACACAAAATACTTCTGTTAGACACACCCCCCACCCCCCTGATACCATCTACAATTATTGTTTGACATTTCCTTCAATCTTTAATCAGTAAGTAATATTATTTATAACAAAAGTGTGACAAAACTTTGGTTGAGATCGATCTACCCAACGTAGGGCATTTTCGCTAAATAAGAAATTTGCTTAACGACGCACGAGCCATGCTAAAAAATCAACGCCAAATGCCCGATTATTCATAACCATCCCATAACCCATCCAATAATGTGGTTTTAGCTTCTCGAATATATGTACATATATGTATATATTCTCTCACTCTCTTTTGGGTTCCCTCTCTCTCTCTCTCTCTCTCTCTCTCACTCTCTCTCTCTATCTCTGCCTCTCTTTTGTGACTCGTTTTGTAAACGTGCTAAATGTTATTTATTAATTAAGTCGAGTCGGACGCTATTTTCTACCTATTTACATAAAGAACAGCCACAACAGGCAGACGGGGGAGAGGGAGCGGGAGCGGGAGCAAAAGCCGGTTTTATGAAAGTCCCCAAGAAAGGGAGTGCCGCCTCCCCATACCCCAGAGCAGAGCCCAGAACCGAGAGTCGTCGCGTGTGAGGTGTGAGTTATGTATTTGGTTAAATATGGTCTGTGTGTATGTAGAATGGGGGGATTTCTGACCGTAAAGCTCAGTCTGGACTTAGCTCTGGGTCAACAGCAAAGGCCCTGTGTATGGGTGTATGGTGCAAAACTATAATCAAAAAGTTCCATATGGAGAATGAGAGGTATAACTTCGAGGGGGAGGTACAACTTTGAGTGAGAATCTAAGAAAACCAAGGGAAGACCCTCCTCGCTCCAAGTGAGTCATAAACTTTGCTGGCGTTTTTTGCGTTATTTAAAAATAGCCACACAGCCATTAATTTTGAGTGAGAATCGAGGCACAGTCTGAGTTTGAAGAAGCAACTGAAGAGTACCCTGCAGGGACCCAGGGACAAAATTGAAGATGGATATTTTATTTAATTTGAATCAGAGGATCTACTCCAGGTTCCCTGCATTTTATTATAATTCTGTTCCCTTTACTATCTTAACATCTATTCAAGCTTTTACTTACATTTCCATAGCTTCGTATGCTCGAAGGACTCAGGCTGAAGAGCCTGCCCAATTGATGATGATGTGTGGGTGAGCCATTGCTATTGGCTGAAGATATATCCGTGAACAGGGGGGAGTGTGAGTGGGAGTGATCTGCAACGTAGAAAACCAGAATTATAGCTATATATTGCTCTAAAGATATAATTCCTCTCACCATTCAATTCCAATGCAGGCGACATATCCTTGGGAAATGTAAACAAATCGTTGTTGTTCCTTATGTCCGAGGAATTCAACGTGAGACTGGGCTTTCGTACACCCAGAAAATTCGAGCCCGAAGACGTACCGCTCGTAGAGCAGCCCCCTGCCACATTGCAGCCGATCCGCCCACTCCCACTATGGGGCGTCACATTGGGCAGGTTGTGAGACTCCAGAGGGGAGGCAGACTTGGGGATGCTGCTGCTCCCTGCGGCTCTCTTAAGTATGGGCGCCGGTGGCAGCTGCGACGGCGAATGCCGATAGATGCCCCCCGTCTGTGGATGTGGATGTGGATGGGACTGTGCGTGCAGTGGGTGTGGCAGTGCCAGTGGATCCCCCTGATGTTTGGGTATTGCCAATCGAAGAGTTTGTCTCGCGGCTAGCCTACGTCCAGGCGCATATTTATTTCCCGCTGGCGTTGGCATTGGCATCGGCATCGCTCCGCTGTTGTTGCCGCCGCTCTCTGTATCGTGTGCTTGCGCCACCAGCTGCGGCGAATTCATGGCTACTACGTGACGGACGCCTCTCTCTCTCTCTCTCTTAGCTTTTTATCAATGAATTCACGTTTTCTTTTTTTTTTTTGTATTGTATTTTCTCTTTTAGGGAACTGCAGCAGCAAGTTGCATAATTATTTGTACAAACAAAAGCAACAATTAATTGCAATCCACAAAGTTTTGCGACAGCTGTTGCCTCTGGCCTCTGCCTCTGCAATTTTTCTTGGAACGTGACCGACGGCTTCTGACCCACTTTTTGCCTTGAGAAATGTGCACTCAACACCTCTTTTATGCGTATCTTTTCTTTGTTCGCCTTTGTCACGCCTTAAATATGTTATTTCTTTAATTAATCTTTCTTTTGTTGCTAAATTCCGCCAAAACAGAGCCAGAGAGGCGGCTAAAGATGGTCCTCGGACGATGAAAGCAGGGATGGTTCGATTTGCAGCGATAGTTTTCCGCAAGCAGCAGCACTTAACTTTGTTGTTAATTTTTAAAATTCTTTTAAATTATAGCTTCAAGGCCATATTTATTTACTAGTTAAAAAACAAAACAAGCATTTTCATGGATTGGATTGTCCCGCACTGCTGTTGCTGCTGCTGCTGTTGTCCGTCGTTTACTTTTGAACTTGAGTCGCGTTACGTGGTCGCATAGACAATGAGAAGTCGCCTGTGTGACGTTCGTCGCTTTGCTCAATTTTCGTGACTTTGCGTGGGATCTCCAGCGGCCATAATATGGTTATATGCCATTTAATTCTCGGCTTAATCTGTAATATATACAAAAGAGAAACACACACACACATACGTCAGCATTTGGAGTAAAATGAAATTAGCTTTAGTTAAATTACTTGGAAACGTGAATGAATCTTAGGCTCATGGCTTTATTTGTCTAGAAGTTTCGTGGGCTGAGAGATCATTGAAACTGAAAATTGCCCTTGAACCCGAGAACACATAATTTGGGGGGCTGAAACAGCTGTCTTTTCTTTTGCTCACAGGCCAATAAAAAACATACATGATACATGAATGCCTCTTTGGAGCCTTGATCTATAAGAAACACGGCAAATTTAGTTCTTTCAACTTTTTGAACCCCTTAAAAAAAAGTATAAAGAGCAAACAGAATTAATCGTACAATCAACGGCGGAACGAGGTTTTCCAACACCGTGCTATAGTTTGCACCGCTAAACTATTGTTTTGGGGGACCTTACTTGATATTTTCCTCCATTTTATTGGCAATTGATCAATTATCGAATCGCTAACCCAAATAGTCAGTTGTAATGCACAAATGCTGACAACTAATTAGCGTTTCTGTCAGAGGTGCACACCGCTGACTGATTGGACAGGGCACCAGGGTTGCCAAGTTGCTGCCACAGATATCAGACGCCTGCCTGCCTGCCTAATGCAAGGAATTTTCTTTTGAAGTGCCAGAGAGTCGCGAGATAAATTTGCATATGACAGAAAAAACAGAAAAACAAACCAACATTCAGACAGATAGATTCAAACAGAAAAGCGAGATTCATGAAAAGCCGTCGGCCTCTGGTTTTGCCTTAAAGAGCTGCAGCTCAAATTTGTTGCATATTTGCACACGGATTTACAATAAATTGCAATTATGCAAATTGCAGCGAAACGAACGCTTAAATCTAAAAACGAAAAAAGATGCCAGACATTAATCATTTCAATTTAGACAGACGGGTAGGGTAGACGTGTATTTAGCAATTATAGATATTGACAGGGCGTATCAGTGTTGCACAATGATTAATTATTTTGGAGTGCAGGCAACCCTAGGAACGCTGTAGCATTAGTGTGAAGTTTTCGGTAAATCTGTCAATATCGTAAAATTTTTATTTTAAAAGCATGGGGAATAAAGTGAATCTACTGATTAAGGATGTGTGCGTCCAGGAGGAGATGGCAGAGATCAAAAACGAAGAAAATTCACTAGCGAAAGTACAGTTGCGTGCACTCCGCCATTCAACCATTCAGAGTTCACACCTAATGAAGCATTTTTTGACATATGAATTTTCAGCATGAAGCAGACACAGCCAGAGCCTCAGCTTTTGATACTTCTCAAACCAATGCGTGGCACTTTGGTGATCCCTAGACTACAGACCTTCTTTTTTACTATTGGTGGCACACCCAAGAAACGATTGAGGGCTTATTTAAGCCTGGAATCAGCGCAAGATTTCGGGAAAGTTCTGCTCCACACACAAAAGGTCAACCGAATGACAAGTGGTCATGTTTTCTTTGTTCAATCCACGAAAGATGAAATATCTAAGTACACAAGCCGTTTCAAAACGTTGCGACTGATCCCAACTGGATTGAAGCGCCACACGAGGCGTCAACGGCTTCGTCGCTTCGGGACATGGGCTTCACTTGACTCAATCGATGTCCCAGAACAATAAATCTATGGAAATAAACCCAATGCCTAGACGGCTCCGATGTACTACTCCTGTTTGTGTTGTTTTGTTTTTGCCGGGTGATTCCCAGATCCCAGATCCCAGGCTCGAGATGACATATGAGCTGAACTTGGAAAACCTGCGTCCATATCTCGAGCTCACAGATTCCCACAAACACCAGTGCCGAGAGCTCTACTACACCCCCATCAAAGCCAAGGAGCTCGAATACAAGTACGTGAAGCGAACAGATGATATACTCAAGAGGACCGACTCCATTGGATGTGGTCAGGCGTGTGAGTGCTTCCTGACCTTCGATGCCATCTCGCTGACCTCCAACTATACGGCTTTGGTATTCAGCCTTTGTGGCATTGCCCATCCCCTGCACCTGGTGATCTATGCCAGTGCCGTGGAGGATGCCAGGGTGGTGGATATTGCCGAATTTCTAAGCGATATTCTCGTCAATTTGGTCAGACATGAGTTGCCCAGGCTCCCGATGTTCCCAACGATGTTTGTGCTGCTCCACAACAATGTGATAAGCCAGAATGTGATAAGGACAATCTCGGAAAAGGCCGCGTATTCGAAAATCTTTAAGAAGTTTCTATTTGTTCTGGATGCTACCTTCTGGCGGTATTACAATATGCACATTCCCTATATCCAAAATGCATGGCTCGACATAATGCATACGGAAATCACAAAGGCCAACATATCGGACATCTTCCAGCAGCACGAGGAAATGTCCAAACTCAAGCATTTGGGGTTCATGGAGGAGTTCGTCAAATCCTACTTAACCCTGGCCAAAAAGCTGCTGTCCACCAAATCGACCGTCATGCTGCGCCACTGCACCCTGGAGCGAGTGGACGACTTTGTGAAGATTATTCGTGCCAATATGAAGATATTCAAAAGCGAGTCAGTCACACGGCAGCAGGTCTTCCAGCTGCTGCGGGCAGTGATCATCATTTATGACCATTGACCATTGACCACTGACCACTGAGGGGGCATCGACCATCGAGCAGAGAATGAAATAATTTATGTGGCACAACAATTTATACACAAGCCAACGAAATATGTATGTACTTTTCTATTTGTTTGGATTTCAATTGTTTTTTTTTAACATTGAGTTTGGCGGCCGATGTTCGAATCGGATTTTTGACACTAGTCCGACACAAGTCAGGATGGCCGAGTGGTCTAAGGCGCTGCGTTCAGGTCGCAGTCTACTTCTGTAGGCGTGGGTTCGAATCCCACTTCTGACAAGATTTTTGTCTCCTTTTTTCTGTTTATATTTCAAAATCTATATTTTACGATGGTCTTTTACGAAATTCGGTTTGTTAAGCCCTCTGAAATCACATACACAAGCAATTTCTCACGCATCAACTGACTAGGCCTGCAATAAAATAAAACAGCAAAAGCTCAATCGGACAGACACGTTTTCTGATTATTTTTCTGTTCGAATTGTAAGAGGGGGCATTAAGTGCATTAGGCGTGCCGCAAAAGGGCTTATCACGAGCACGAACAAGTCATTCATCAAATGTCTGACCATGAGCCCCATTGAAAGAGCTAATGGATACAGGTTTATGGCACTAGGAAATCCCTGCCCTGGCAATACGAGCCGCAATCGGTGGCAAGATAAAAACACTCTCAAAACAGACCTGCGACTGCACTGATAAAAACCTGTCCAGACCTTGTGCGACAAATGCTTTCGCCTGCGATTCCCATTACCATTCTCCCAATTTGTTGACGCAGTCGATATGCCCGCCATTCGATTCCCCCCTTCGATTCAGCATTTTCTGCATGCAGTATGTAACACAGAAATGACCCAGAGAACTTCATGAAATGGCATTGAGCCCCTAACCTGGAATCGTAATCCACAAATTGGAATCAAAATACAAACAAAAATACCAAAAATAACATGGAAAAAGAGACAGATATGCTAACTCCACATCTACTCGATTACTAAATGGTGTCACATTGCACCTTTATGTATTGCTGACAGTAGAATAACATACGAGTATATATCTTGTTATAGTATGTTTGTATGTACATATGTATATTTACTTTATTTAATGGTTTTTTGATGCATTCTAAATGAATAAAAATTGCGTGCGCAATTGCCGGCTTGACTTATGTATGAGCGCTGACTGACCCATTTCGATGATTATAAATTACTATAACTTATCAGCCGACTTTTGCCTTGAAACTAGAACTGGGTTCCAGCTCTCTGACTGCTTGTACTTCTACTCCTCTTCTACCTCACTTGAGAGCTGATTTCCTTTCCCCATTGAAATTGTTTATTTGATTTGCTATTGCTGGAAAACCACAAGTTCAATGGCAATGGCAAAAATCATTTTTCGCAGCTTGTCAAAACAATTTTTCAATTTGAATTCCGACTTTTCCTTTTTCCACTCCTTTTTTTGCGTATTTTTCCTTTTCCACACTCTCACACTCTTTTTTTTTTTTGGTTATTTTCCTTTTGGATAAACAAATAATTAGCCAGAAAAATGCGCAAATGCAAATTACGTTCGTTCATCTTTCAGACACCGAAACAGACATATGTCTGGGCATATCTATACGCATATACATATGTACATATGTATGTATGTATGTATGTACACATGGGAGAATATATTTAGATGGATGTCGGCATTGAGTCAAAGGCAAAGCATAAACAATGCCACCGTCTATTCTGCAGATACAAAAACTAATTTCGAATTCTTTGAGGGAAAACTGTCGTCAAGTGTTTGCTCGAAAAAGCTCATTAAAATCTACATTTTCCAAAGATCTTCGCAGAGAGGAACCGCCAGCAATCATAATAAATTATTATGCGGAATATAAAAACAAGACGAAATCTCCACAAAAGAGGGGCCGCCGCTGCGACGACTAATGAGAAGGGTTCGGCGGCGGTTCCCATGGTAGCTGTCCGCCACGCCCCCTGAACCGGATTATTAGCGAGAGTTCGCTTTTGGCTTAAATCAGAAGAATGCTGCGGGTCTTGACCTCATTTCCAAGTCACCTCTTTGTACCCCCTCTTTTTGGGAAATTCATAAAAAAAAAACAGATATAGATATTAATATTGTCTGGGACTTGCGCTGCGCTGCGCTGCTCTTTTGTTCTGGTGGCCCCACCCTCTTGAAGATAAATCTTATCGCCATGTGAAAACCGACTTTGTAAACAATTTGTCGGCATTTGTACAAAGTGCAGCAGCAGCGAGCAAAGCAGCTGATCGAATCGATTCGATTTGCAATTATTCCGCATTGAAAATTGTATAGTTCTTGTTACTCAACAGGCAATTAGTGTTGTAATGGCAAGGAATTAACGTCCACGGCTATTAACAATACTGACAAACGGTAACCGAGTCTCCAATTACAGGAAAAAGTACAAAAATTAGCATAAAGAATTATTAATAAAATTCTCACATGCAAATACAGTTTCCATAAAAATGTATTTATGGTTCGATTTATGGCAGCGTTCGGTCGCGAGAGCGAGAGTTAATTGAAGCACTGATCCAAAACGTGCCTTTACTCTGCTCATCCCAACAGTCAGGATGGCCGAGTGGTCTAAGGCGCTGCGTTCAGGTCGCAGTCTACTTCTGTAGGCGTGGGTTCGAATCCCACTTCTGACAAGAATCTTTTTGTCTTTTTCATTTTCCGCAGGTTTTCCTTTCGCTTGTCCGCACTTTTAATTATATTTTCACCTCATAATTTTGTGCAGTTTTTGGTTTCAAACAAGCAAAAAAAAATGAAAATAGATGTGCCCAGTGGGTGTGTTTGTGTGTAGCATCTATTTATGGATTATTTTTACTAAACAAAAACAAGTGCAAAAGGCCAAAACTTCAATCAAGTGAAATGGAAAATGGAAAATGGAAATTGGGAAAAGCATGTGGCGGAATATACAAAAACAAGTTGTTTAGAACAACGGATCGTATGTTTGTTTCCCGGAAGATCCCACCCGCCCAAAGGGGGGTGCACTTGTTGCTTTTGTTGTGTGGACTTGTGTGAACGACGTGTGTGGGTGTCATTTGCCGCTAGTTTGTTTGGAATTTAATTGGATTTTAATAAACTTTTTGCCAAATAAATTGCAGGTCTTTAAGGCAGGGCCTTGTGCTGTTTGTGTTTAACATTTAAATTGCTTGTTAGCGCGCTTTTAAGAGGGTATTATTAGTATATGGAGATGTTTGCCATGGCAGAGATTCCATGGTAACAATTGATCGGTAAGGGTATCCTACAATTCGCCTTCCAATTATCGGTTACAATCCTGATTTTTCTGATCTTTAGTGTGAAATTTGTATGTGGCGAGCGTGTGAAGATCGTTTGCCCTTTTCCGCTGATTGACGGGACTTTTATGTCGGTTTTTATGGGCAGTACATTGACGTGCGTCTGTCTTTACTATGGAATAAATTCCCCAAAATGTATACACACTGTTAGGGTTTATGACTTGGCAGAAATACACATACATTTGCAAAGGTACAAACGTATCTGTGGGCTTAATTTGATGTGCAACAAAACTTACAGAAAATGCGATTCATGGGACGATTCATTTCATTAGCGATTCACGTCGGCGTCGTCAAAATCTGCGCCCGCAGATAAGCGCAACGGAAGCTGCGACCGCTGCTGCTGCTGCTTCTTAGGAGGAGGAACAGTGGGGTGTTTTCACAAAATTCCTGCAAGTCAATCAACCCGTCAGCTTATGCTTTTGATATCTCTCATTTTTAGCTCTTTTCGCCTTTTGTTGCGCTTTTCTTCCCCGCTCCACCACTCGCCCGCTCGATCACTCACAGTGGTTGTTATTTATAGACAGACACATGGAAGCCAGAAGCCGAAATAAAATTAAACGCACACCAAACACACGCACATTTCACACAAGATTTCGTAATTGCATTCGCCGGGGATTGGATTGGATTGGGGTGTGGGAGACACACATTAAAACTCTATTCTACATCACTTAACACTTTTCACAACACGAGAACTTATAAATTTTCCACAAGTCTGTTATTTTCAATCACAAGTGAAATACGCGCGAAAACTTTCCGCAAAGAACACCGAACGACCGTCGCCCTGCGTTTTTTGTTGTTGACTGCGTCGATGCAAGCCGCCGATCGTGGAGGCAGCGTACTGGCCGTTGCTCCACATCAGTGCTGCCAACTTTGCATCACAAAAAAAAGCTTAAAATATAAAGCTCATATCTATGGGTTTTTTTTTTTTTTTTTAATTTGTCTTTTAAGCTAGTGTTTTTTCCCCATTATCTGACATCTGGTTTTAATGAACTTTGCAATTCCAAATATCTGTTAAATGCAGCTATATATTGGATCTTCTCGAATTTCAAATTTCACGCAGTTGGCCTTAAAAAAAAGCCAGATCTGACGGGAAAGTAGCGGAATCGGCAGCACTTTATCCGATTGTGAGAGCAAGAGGTGTTGCTTCGCATGGTACCATAAGTATAGGGTTTGGCCACTCGTTCTTGCTTGTGTGTGCCTGCACGATCTTTGGCATTGCCTCTCCTAATGTTAGTCTATTCTTTTGCAAAATGCAGTACTGATTAAAGTTGTCTGCAAAACTCTCTGTTGCTAACATCATTCGTTAAACACAAACATTATCGAGAGTAAAACTGATCCATCATATGAGCGCTCTCTGGCAATTCTTCACCTGTTTTTGTTCTGCCATGTGATTTTGCTAGCAGAGAGAGAACGGGCGGCTATAAACTTTTGCTGTTTATTTCGTGTCTTTTTATTTACTTTGGCTTCTTCACTTGTTGATAGGGAGGGGGGAGGGTGAGGGAGGTCGAAGCGCTGCTGCCAGCTGCCAGCTGAGGCGTCGGCGTAAAAAGTGTGGGTGTGAAGGCGCTGCCGCCTGCTCTGCTGCGTCAGGCTGGCTGCACGTGCAATGGAAAAACCTCGAAAAAAATGGTAAGAAAATGTATTTTAATTTTGAAAAAATACAAATTGCTTGTTAAATTAAGTGTTTAAAAGACACGCAGTTAAAACGGGTTTTCAGACGCTTTCTTTGCAGCCTCTCCTCTTCCCACCTCTCCATCACTTTGCTCCGTCATTCTATGTCTCCCCCTCAAAACAAATACGCCCCCACAGTCATTTTTTTCCATA